AAAAAAAAAATTAGACTTGGTAATAGAGATACAACGAGAATGACATCTTTAGGGTGTGTTTGTACTTTGTATATAAAATAACCCAATACATACTCACTCCATATTCAAATCTAGCTCAACTTTAACTCAACCCCACTATACTCAATATTATCAATATAATCAAATAATATTAATCAATTATTCTTACACATCACATAACTTTAGTTCACTAATCATCCACTCACATAAATTTAACTAACCATAACTTCACATTATTTTTCTCCAACTTTTACATCAAATCAATTTTAACTATATTTTAAATATTATTTTAATATAAACTCAAAATTCCACTAACAACTAACTATACCACTTTTTTTAAAATTAACCGTTGTTAACCAAAAAAACTAAAACAAACCTTGGAAGTCAGCTGTCCTTTCCCATCTCGGCTAGTACCACACTTCTCGTTGATGAAAGTAACAAAGTCATCTAAATCTCTGCCACCATCATAATCTTCACCAGCTTTGTTGTTCTTTGGGAAGAACTTCAACGTGGGAAAACCACTAACACCATACCTGCTTTGCAGAAAATATACCTAAGATTAACAACTACCAACAGAAGAGAGAAAAAAAAAAAAAAAAAAAAAAAAAAAAAAAAAAAAAAAAAAAAAAAAAAAAAAAAAAAAAAAAAAAAAAAAGACCTCATCAAAACCCAAACAAGTAAAGGAAGAAAATACTAGTTTGTAAAAACTCACTTTTGCCCAAGATCCTTGTGTTGGTCAGCATCAAGATTCGCAATGACCACATCTTCCTCCAGCTTGAATGCTGTTGCAACTTTTTCGTAGGTCTACAAGCAGAGAGGATATAGAGACGATTAGATTATTCAAACAATTTCTCTGATAAACCGAGTCAGTCGGTTTATTCTATAAGCCAGTATGGTACAGCACTTACAGAAGCCAGCTGCTTGCAGTGACCACACCTGGAAAGCAAAATCATTAAACTTAGAAACACTTTAAACTAATGCAGTACACAACTATCTAGGATACCCTGTGAAGCTGCAGTAAATGTTCTATATTATAAATACAAGACCACCACAATGCGTAATGCAATAGCAATACCATGGACCTCACATAAATTTCTTCAAACTTACCAAGGGGCATAAAACTCAACTAGGACATCCTTTTTCTCATCAAGCACGACCTCATCAAAGTTCTCTGGAGATAAGACCACAACGTTTGAAGGGACTGAAGCAATCTTCACATTTGTACCTGAAGACAAACCAGTGAAGGAAACAATGTGAGACACTACACGGGGATGGGGTCTAAGAAAAGATACTAGAAAACAACACAGGACGAAAGTAATTGTCCCAGGCATGAGGCTTGCATTAATATTCCTTCTTACAGACATTATCCATGAAGGGAAACAATTTCATAAACGAATAACAATTGCCAGATTATGTGGGTATCAGAAATCTTAGTACAAAGTAGAAACGCAATCAGGTGTAATTTAACCATGACCGTACTGTAGCAATGATGAAAGAGAGAAAACATACATGAGAAAATTTTACCTCCTTCACTGTTCAATACAACCTATAGTAGTAACAGTGCAGAACAGATTAACATAGATCAGAAAATGATTACCTCCTTCATTGTTAACAAATTCGGCAAGGGCTTCGGCAGTCCTTCCACCTTCATATCTAATATATTAATAACTTAATGTTAGGGATATACTTGGCCTGAGAATAGCATGGATATCAAGGATACAGTGCAACTTAGCATCAAGAATTGGATCTGAAAGAGTAAACTCACTTTTTAGGCTCCAGAGACCCCTTAGGAAACCACTTAATGGTGGGGTATCCAGAAACATCGTACTTACTACAGAGACTCTTTTGGTCATCACAATCAACCTACAATAAGAAATAATGTGACCATATAGATTATTTTGGCACCTGAATACATTTGTTACAGTCTCAACAATAACTAATTTAATACCTTTTTATCAATATTTTAACTTGTACAGTTTTAATAAAATAACTATATCTCAAAAACAGAATCACATTAAACATAAAACATTAAAACTTCCAACTGAAAACTACTATCTTTAACAAGAGGAGTTAATTAATTTTCTCATTTTATGGTTGTTCAAGCATAATATAGGCACGCATTTAAATGTGACTAATGCTCATATTTAAATATAAGTAATACCCATAAATTAAGCTACACAATTATCAATAAAAGGTAATCTAATAAACTGCTAAAAAGAGAAGA